TGGAATGCAACCTATGAAGAGACCTTACAGGCTGTAGTTAATCTCGAAACAGAATATCGTCGGAGGAATTTCTCGGACGTACGCTGGACACTGAAAATCCATTGTGGTCTGCTACACACCTTCAGCTCGAACAAATTTTGTGGGCCATTCGTTTGTCCATTTGACTGTCATATTCTCCTTGCCATTCTGTCTTGATCTTGCATCCCATCCAAGTTTGAAGCAGCCGCTTTGACGCTTTGGAGCGATTTGCGCGTAGGTGTAAGTACCTTGATGCATCGCAAAATGAAAAGAGGAGCGAAAATGGGGGAGAGGATGGAGGTGGCTGTGAGCGAGCACAAGCATTATCTCAGTAGAGGAATTGTAAAAGACCAGAGAGATCGCATGCGCAGTCTTTGTGTGTGGGTGTGGCAGCTTTGTGCCTCCACTAACACCTCCTCCATTAATGTGAGGCTCAATAATGCAACATGCAATTACTTGCATTGATCAACGTCCTCTCTCAGTCTCCCTGTTCGGAGACGCGGACACTGAGACTTGCAGAAAAGCCTTCTCTTCTTGCTGGAAAAAAGACCTCCTTTCAAACACTGTCCGTAGTCGAGGCTGAGGAATTGGCGATCCAAGTGAGGCAAGGCAACCGATGACGAACACTGGTGATGTGGCGGTTTAGTGAAGCCCTGAAAAGTGCAGTGGTAGAGTTGAAAGGAAAGGCCAAGGATTAGAGTGGTCCATTTGTTGCCAGCGTTCTCTTCTCTCATACAAAAACAACTCACTTGACAAAGCAGTTGAGGTTGCAGCTTAGAGAAGAGTCAAATCTGTCTGATTAGTCACACCACTTCTTTCCTTCAATCTTGGTTCCTTTAGAGTTCAGGATTGTTGAAGCGACTTGGAGCTTGACATGGTGGCAAGCATTGTGCTTGTTCTGGGCAGAGTGGGTGCGCAATGCGAAGGCGTTAGCGCCCACAGCATCATGATAACGCCAAAGAACCATCGGTCGCCCTTGCGCAAGTCGTCAGAGGCAGGAAGAGTTGGCGGAAGAATGCAGACAAGAACAAACCGATTTGCAATGGTCTGTCCCCGTCACACCGGCTACATCAAGAAGGCGTCAAAGGTGGACAATCATCGCACTACGACAGCTTCCCTTATGGGTCAATTGCAAATTGCATTTTGTCTGAATGTTGTAAGGTGGCGTCTTTGGCATTACCTCTGGGTTGGAATGCTTGCTTTCCTCGAGGTTACTGAAGTGGACGTGGTTGAGAAGTCATTTGAAACTAGCATTCAGACACTTGAAACCCACTTCTTCATTTTGCCACATGCCATATTTACCTTAGTCAAAGTCGCATTCACCAACAACTGTAAATGCAACTCCGCTCTCTCTCATCCCGACAATGACAAATAATTTTTTGTCGATGGAATGCAATTCTCTCTCTCTCTCTCTATTCTCTAACAATGTGGAGGAGGTGGAGGACAAGGGAATACGAAGCACATTAGTTGCAAGGTGTGTGCAAGAAAGCGTAAAATTTGGGCAAATGATTGCGTTGCTGATGAACTACTTTCCTGAGGGTTGGAAGTAACTAACAATTAGACAACCGAGCCCTAATTGTCGACCAGCTGAGGTTGTCCTCCTTTGTTGGATGGCGGTCTTAGCCCAGAGTGGGACAATCCGGAAGTAAGCTTCAAGAGATGGCATTTGAATGCTAAATGCACAGCTCCGCTTCCACAAACAGATTGTCTCAACGTGCACGGACGAGTGGTGCTTCCACGTCATGCGGTAACGAGACATCACGAGTTGTTGTTGCTGTTGTTTTCGAAAACTAGTGGTTGACACGCATAGGTGGTAGAATCAGCAGAATGCTTTAGCATGTAAGATTTGAAGATTGTATGCTATTAAGTCCTCACAAGGACGAGGCCTAGGTGGCACGTACCGATTCTTGCATGCTTTGGTTTGAGTTAAAAAAGTGGATACTTGTGGCCCGAAGTGGCCCGCATGACCTCAATGCTGAGTTGAGTAGGTCAAATTGGCGACCTCGAGGTGGTCTTTTTTAGGTGTTTCAAGAATATTGCCCCGCTCCATGAGCACAGCCTTCTATCATACAACAATTGGGTCCTCTGATTCCATCAAAATAGGGTCTGGAATCACTGACGCAAACGTAATTGCATCTTCTTGCATCAGTGTTGGAAGATTCTTTTAAATTTCTTTTGTGTCGGAAACCAAAGCAATACCTTCAATTTCCATGCCATCTTTTACTTATTGAGATCAAGAACTCTCAGGCGTTGGGTCGATGACAAAGCTAGGTGTGGAACCTTAAAACAATAGGAGGATTTACTCCTTGCACAAGCTCTAGATAATGCATTACCTCAGCATTAGAATCGTAAAACACTTTGGTCAATTTATAGACAGATTTTACAGGGAACTCAGTGATTTACCGATCTCTTAACTATCTTCATTACCAGCATCGTTGTCATCCGTTCACGAGTAATACAAAGTGGTCTCATATAACTAGCCTTGTCTCGCATTCTCTTCCTTTCACCATTCCTGTGCTGCGGTTTTGATAGGAAGACAACTTCATTTGGCAATTAAACATTTTCCAGAGTGTTAACACGACACTGCATACAATTTAAACAAAAAGGGATAAGAATTTAGCAAATCGGCCTAAGTAGGACGAAATGAAAGCGTTAGGCGATCAGTCAAATGAATTGGATGTGAGGAGTGCTGGAAATGGTGCTGTAACATTTATAAGTGTGGTTCTATTATTGGTTGGGTACCTTCTCTGGAGAACACTGCGTAATTAAGGCACATTAAGCCTTAGCCTAGAAGGAAAAATAATGAGCGTAATTAAAACAACCTACTCATTAATTTTATCCTGAACTTACTTCTCTTACTTTCTCTTTGGGCCCTTCAAGGTACAGGAGTGACATTGCCATCATATCCATTCATGATGGATCAATCTGCTTCACACGGGCGATGACAATGGGGAAGAACTCTAGCGTGTTGGAAGCTTAAAATATGACATCATGACAATAAACAGAGGTGTCAGAGACAAAAGGCATTGGTAAAGCAACAGTCGTCTGCTCAATTTACATCTATATTACTGGTGGGAAAGAAGGAAGCAATCGAACTGATGGCAATGAAAATACAAATCCGCATCATGTATGCAAGCGAAACTAAGAAAAGAGACTCTGTGATCTTGCCGTCATACAGTACCCTGTAACCTAGCCGCTTGCATGATGCAGCCTCACCTCAATGGGAGGCGCTTAAAAGGTGACATCGTTTGGTATTTTGATGAAGATCTTGTTAAGAACCAATATTTACCGTGGAGGTAGTTAAAAAACAATCCGGACGCTCTCAAACGGACATATGTAAGTTTTAAAATTGGCGAATTTGACATATCAACTTAAGCATAGAATGACTTTGAAGCAAATCTGTAGTGTTATGTGATATTCCTATATTTCGAATTTGATCATAGTTGTATACAAGAAAAAATGGTTATTCAGAGAAGGGCATTCAGGCGATCCAATAACTTTGTGAGTGCTGATATGTAAAATCTTTAGCCTGGCTCCCGTTTGCAGTACACAATTTTCTCATTTTTCATAATTCGCTTCTGTATTGAAAGTAGCTGTCTTTAAGTGGAGCCCCTAAAGACTCAAGGGTAGCCACCACTTCGTATGACAGGGCTATAGCTATTGTGCGAAATGACTTGGCGATCTGCACTTGTCTTATGAAATGCTGTTAATATGACAACAACGTCCATATATTTGCTGAACTGATTTTTATCAACTGACTAAAGCCACTTGAGCAAAAGCTCTCCCTCAGGCCTCCAAAACGGCACATAATAGTGGTCGATTTTAGTGCAATACCTCCAAACTACTTGGTAGATTCTACTCACAAATCGTGCAGTAGCCAAACGTTCCTATTAGTAGGCAAACAACTTCCTTCCTTTATACAAAGAGAGAGGAGAACTGGTCAGGCAAACAGATCCTAATTTTTCCCAGCAACAAGAACTATACCTGCTACGAAGCTAAAACACGTGTATCCCCCTTTAAAGGTTAGAAGTAAAAAGTAGCACCTTTTGCAAAGACATGATTTTAAGCAAATTGTATCAACTATGATTTCAGATTACTTTAGTAAAATGTTTTTAGGCATTTCAATCCATCTTTTTTTTTTTTACAAATGAGATTTTGACACGGCCCTATTGCGGGGTTGAAAATGCCGTTTCTTGCTCCTCTATGTGCGAAATCGTAGTGCTGCCAGTGAAATCGTCACTGTCTCCCCAACACAAGCCTGCTCATTAGGTCAGAATTTACTCGGTACTTTGCAGCAAGCCAAAATGCATTGTCTTTTTACATGGAGGCATGCATCCTGTTTGGGTGAGGAAGAAATGCCTCGTTGCTAGCATGTTTGGGCAAAAGAAGTCCCACAACCATTTTATTCTACCATTTATAACTTATAAACATGTTATCAATTCATTTTGGAGTGCTTACTCGAGGTTTATGGGGAGGCTAAACGTAAAGCTTATATTTCATAAACCATAACAAATTCAGGATGAGTAGGAAAGTGTGACGGCTTTATCCTACTTACTTATTAACCAGAGCTGAGGAGGTGTTCTCCACAAATTCGTCGTATTTACAAAAAAAAGTATTTTTGTGTGTGCAGTGCAGAATATTAACTTTCATTGGTTTTTCCTTGCTATAGAATGGCTTCTGGCCAATAGGGGAAGCGTATAGTGCCTCACACTCTTCGAACGTTCTATCGACTTGGTGGGTTTCCGCTCGAGGAGTTGCCGGTTCAACAACGTCCTCCTTGATCCCACTTCACACACACACATTCACGCTCTCAAAAAATTTTGTTAAGTTGAACAACAACATACATTTACTTATCTTTAGCCTGTGAGAGAGTGTATAGCGAATGCGTTCATCGTGGTATCACTAAATGTTTGTTGTAATTCGAAAATTGGTGTTTTAACAACACACAGCTAGAAATCCTGAGGCTTTCACCGGAATGCATTTAACAGTGAATAAATATTCGCTGATGAACTATCTTAAAATAATGGTAAGTAACTGCTACTTTGGGACTAGCAATATATATAAGAGCGGTTCCAAGTGACTAATTTCGGTCAGTAAAGCATAACAAAAGCGACTATCAGATTGCACTGCAGCTTTTAGCTTATAATTTAGAAGGTTAAGACGTTAGGCTCTTCTGAAACGTCAGACTCTATGTCACAAAGTAAAGAATAAAACGAAAACTAATTTTCGCATTTATGCCAACAACAAATTGACCATCAACACAAAAGAAGTGCAGCTGATAGAAGTGGTAAAAGTGTCCATCACTCCATCCTCATCATTTGTCAATCACCGTGATCCCTGGATTACAAGCACCTTGTCTGACTCCAGATCCAACGCTTGTTGGGATAGCAACGAGTTTCGTACACTGTGTATGTCAAGTCGCTAGACATGCGCTTAACGTCATTTTTGCCTTATCAAGTTCAATTTCGAAAGCCCTTTTATGCAAGGTCATGCAGTCTGACGAATAAAATGAACATTCTGACACTTTACACTTAAGCGCCTACTATATTTTTAGAGGGTATATTGAGCTTAGATAAATTGCATATCAGTCACCTTGCATTTAAAAATGGCAGTGTAGAAAACTCGAATTCCTTACGCTACTGTTAATGTGATTGTGCTTGTAGATCTAGTTTCTGTGTGTTTTGATGTGTGTACGTGCTTAAAACTCTATGGAGATGTGATGCGTTTATCGTGAGGACTTACAAATTGTTCCACTTGCCTTTGAGTAAGGTGCCCAGAGAGTCTGAAAAATCGCTACATGTTTGGAGGTGTATGGTAGACCCACTGATACATCAGTCCTGTGTGCAAAGATGAAACCTTTGAAAATACATCAATTTTGGGGATAGTGATCGCTGATAGGATGCAACAGAGCTATGATGAAGTGTTCAATATGGTGTCCCATTAACCGATCGTAGCTTAACAAAAAATGGTTGATATGGTGATAGATGACCGGTTTCATTATTGTTAGCGGTCTTGGAGGCCTTTGGCGTTTTGTGATCTCTAAACTCCTCTGGCTATACAAATGGATGTTTTTGCGAATGTGGTTGGCTCGATGCCTCCAAATGTCGCCTTTTGTTCAGCTTGACTGCCTTCACAATGGGTCGGGACACCTCACGACCTTCAGTTTCAAGGTCACATTCCTCTTAAGTTACACAAAAAGTGCAATTCTAGACTAGACTACAATAGAGAGGTGCATCATTGTGCACTTAGGTTTTCTCAATGGAGACTGCCTCGCTAAATGTATGGCAAATGATCTAGCTAGTACCACTGATCCCAGAGGAGATAAATCGGATTCTTCTCGTTCGGATTTTAGGCCAACTTTCACAAATACAGCTT